TTCCCGCTCGCTGGCTGACCGTCTCTCGAACCAGCGACAGCATCCCAACGCAAACCTCTCCAGACGCCCGACTTGCGAATTCTTCGTCATGATAAGATCCTAGACAGACCATATTTTCCTAATTACCATCCCGAGAACGACACCCTCAAGCCATCACCCGTCGCATCGTGACCACTGGCGCCAATCTCTACGAAACTCGCCCCCGCCCCCGACAAGCCAGCACCAGAACCAAAAGCAGAAGCGCAAGAAGATGGACGCCCACGCCCTCCTCACATCCCAGGGCTGGCGCGGCGCAGGCCATTCCCTCCACGCGACCTCGGATGCGATCGGCCTGTCGAAGCCCCTCCATCTCAACCGCCGCGACGGCAACAAGGGCATCGGGCAAAAGGCCCACTACACGAGCGACCAGTGGTGGATGAACGCCTTTGACGAGCAGCTGCAGGGGCTCAGCACGACGACGGGCAAGGACGGCAAGCTGGGCGTCGTGCAGGCTGTGCAGAACGGCGGGCGCATCGGCGGCGTCGAGAAGGGGGCCGGCGGGCGGTGGAAGCTCGGGGGCTGTTTCGTCAAGGGTGGGTTCCTCGAGGGGACGATTGCGCAGATTGAGAGGGAGAAAAAGAAAGACGGTGAGGACGATGAGGAAGAGGCGACGACGACGAGTGAGGATAGCGCGACGGGCACGTCGACGCCGGTCGGCGGTGGCGAGGCCAAGGAGAGCAAGGCGCAGAGAAAGGCGAGGCGGGCGACGAGGAGGGCGGAGAGGGAGGCGAAGAGGCAGAGGAAGGAGGCCAGGAGGGTGCTGAAGGCTTCCAAGACGTCGTCGAAGAGCTCGTCGAAGAGGGCGTCTTCTGACGATGACTCGGACAAGTCGAAACAAGACGAGACGAAAGAGGAGCGGCGCGCGAGGAGAGAGGCGAAGAGGATACGACGGGCGGCGCGAGAGGCGCGCAAAACGGGCTGAAAGAGAGCTGCCTATAGTGAGAGGTTGTGATTCATAGAGCGTGCATGATACCCAGGCTTGTCGCAAACTCGACCAAGCTGTTGAGGCACTGCAGGCGCTGGAAAGGGCCCAAAACCCGGGCACCCAATGGAGGTTAGGGTTCAGAGCCGCTGCGCCAGGGCAAGATCATCAATGAAGGGGGCCCATAGCGACTTTTGTCTTTCCAGAGATGGCGTTTGACCACTACTGGCTGCGCAGATTCGCAAGCGCCAGGGCAGGTCGCGGCGGTAGTTTGCAAGCGTTTTGTTAAAATAGAAGACTCGTACGCATTACTCAAGCCGAGCAATACTGACTCTCCCGAAAATAATGTGAGCCGATAGCAGATATTTGATTCCGTTTGAGCCCGCAACAACTCGCCTATGTACTCTAATATCCATCGATAAGATTGGAACTACGACAAGACTGTTTCCGTATTCTAGGTCTCTTTTGGTGCCTTGCCCGGCTTGTTCGATAGCAGCCACGGTCGCCGGTCCCAAAAGTCATCCTTAATGATATCTAGATGCTCGATCACAATCCGTGCTTTGTTCCGCCGCTTCTTATCCTTCTCTGTCTGGGACTTGGTCATGGAGACCGGCTCTGCAATGGCATCTGCATCTGCCTGGACATTGTGAGTTCCCGGCTCGACCAGTTCATACTAGTATGCTAATTAGCAAGCCAATTTTGATATGAGAGGTAAAGGGAACTAACGTCTCGGAACACGACACTGCCCTTCTTGTACATCTCAGGCTCATTATTGTAGTTGATATGGAAACGGGAGAACAGTATCTCGTTCTTGTCACCCGATACTGTGCCAGCTAGAAGCTCTTCTGCTGCGCGGTTGTCCATACCTCCAAGCTGGATCAGGGCCCAGAAGGTTGTGTTGTATAAGTTGTTGATATGACCTGCTCCTTGTCAGCGTGCTCGCCTGGGAGGCTCCAGAAGCTTCTCCTCACAGTCCACTTGTCGCCAGCTCATGTAGTCTCTCAGGTTCTGTACGCTAGGGTAGCAGACGGCCCGCCCGTCGAAGCTGGGTAGAGGCAAGGTCAACGGCGCATCTGGGAAATACGTGGACCAGGAGTGTATATAGTGTGCTGTGAAAGTGGAGACGATCGTTGTGACGAGCTTGCTGGCACGTCTCTCAAACAGCGTACAGGACTTGTGGAAGACGAAGCTGTACTCGTCACTGATGCCGTAGGCGATGGTGATGTCTGGTAAATCGGTCATGACAGCCCTGGCGGCTGCGTTCATAAGATCAAGGGCGCGTTTGTCGTTCGGCTTCTCAAAAGCATACTTGGCGCAGAGCCTGTCAACGTGTGAGTGCGGCATCCCGGAAGCATCGGACGGTGCCAGTCTGACTTCGTAAAACCTCTCCCATCTATCCTAACAACAACCCATGTATTTTGGAGTAGGGTGTCTGGCTGCTCAAAAGCCTTTACATATTCGAACCTAAACCAGTCAGACAACATTCTTGACGCAACAACGGTGAGTCTTACTTAGAGTTCGCCATGGTGCTGCCGATGACCAGAGCTATGCCTGATCTCTGACTCAAATTGAGAATGCGATTGTGTAAGTCAGTGCCGAATAGGCCCTGGGCAATGCGAAAGGAAGGTGAGTGAGGGATGGTGGGGGAGGGGTCGCTGCAGTGGGGCTACGAGCTTGTATCACCTGAGGTCGCGCATCCGCCTTGCAGGGTCGCGTCCGTAGTAGGTAACCCATCTCCAATTGAACACACTCTACCAACCGGCATTTCCACCCGAACATCGGCTGGCAGCAACCCTCCCTGCTCGACGAAGGACGAACCATTCCGAATCGACATCGACCATACCAGAGACTGTCATATTGGGGCCTCAATCCCTGGCATAACATGCGCCCCTCGACACCATGAACTTGCTTCTAGCCGACCCCGAGGAGGCGGTCGAGTACATTGAGCAAATCACAAACACAAACACTATCCGCTCTGGCCACGCGACATGCCTGCGCTTCAACAGGACGGGCGACTTCCTCGCCTCCGGTCGCGTCGACGGCACCCTGGTTGTCTGGGATATTGAGACTATGGGCGTTGCAAGGAAGATGCGCGGCCACAACAGGAGCATCACGTCGTTGAGTTGGTCGGGATGCGGCCGCTACCTGCTATCTGCGTGCCAGGGCTGGAAAGTCATTCTTTGGGACCTGCAAGACGGGACAAAGTATCGCGAGGTGCGCTTCAGAGCGCCGGCGTACATTGCCGAGCTGCACCCACACAACCAGTGAGTGAGGTTGGCGTTGTTGCAGTCTCTGTAAGCGGTCGTTGACTTTCTCTTATAGCAATCTTTTTGTCGCGTCGCTCTTCGAAGCCCAACCCATGCTTGTCGACGTTACCGAGCCCGTCGAAGTCAAACATGCCCCTGACCCTCTATACCGAAGCGATCAAGCGAGACGAGACGATGCGCTGGCAGAGAGCATGCCAGAGACGCGAAGGGACGACGACCGTGACCATCTTCACAGCATCGGGTGACCACATCATCGCGGCACCAACAGGGCTGGATAAACAT